CACCATATCTACTGAGTTTAATAGGCATGATTGATACATTATTACCAACATAGACAATGTCACCATATCTACAGAGTGTAATAGGTATGATTGATACATTATTACCAACATAGGTAGTAAACGTAGTTTCATTTTGTTCAAAATGGAAGCCCTTAGATTCATAGATATAGAAGACATTTAGGATATTTGACATGAAAGTAACAATAAGTTGTGTACAATAAGTTGTGAGTGAAGCACTTCTGAACGATGGCATTGATGACTTAGTACGTGGTCATGAATAGTGTTAAACTATTATGCTGAGGATTCTAATAATTTTTTATTAAATTAACCTCCAAAAAAGCATGCCTTCAATAAAAGAGTACCTGTGACCGAATAAGGGCATATACTTTAATATCGAAAATACATTGATTCAGTATCTAGAATAGCCCTAAAAATGATTAGAAATACAATAATAGATGAGTTATCGGTGAAGACAATAAATGTGCAAGACTACAGCCAGACACAGATCATTTAATATAAGAACTGTAAATAAATCATGGTTATACTCTAAACAGGACTTCCTGAGTAATACCAGCACCAGGATTTAAAATCAAATCAAAATGGACATCATAAATATTAAGTAGATGGTTACATGCCTCAGAACATAGCTTGTTCAAACCAAAATATACTATTTTAAATATATATATATATATATATATATATATATATGTATATATATACTGGTAATGCAGCAATTATTGGTGGAAGATTGCCACAATACCATCATACATGCATTCATTGTTAATGATAATATTTCCTACTTTATGAATCATTAAACACAGTTTCTGCTTGTGTCTCTGAAATTTTGAATAAGAAATATGTTATATTCCACGTCCTGTGAAAAGTAAAACATAATTTAGTAGGATTATTGCCATAATGATTCATTGTGACCAACAGAGACATAAACTGTTCGAAGTTATTAATTCAACTTGAACAAACTATATCATGCAAAGGCACATAAATACTGTGGCAGTGATGTGTCTATTTCCAAACCCTGCCAACCCCTATAAAAAATGGAATGTCTCATGCAAAATACATTGAATTGTGGGGCTGTTAGGGAAGCCGTAATGCCTCACAAATACAAAACTATCAAAGAATGGACCACTTTTGAAAGCTAAAACCTTGCAGCTGGATGTGATACAAATAATTCTTAATATTTATTGCAATCTCAAAATTCATCCAACCTTAATACTGAATGCTATAAAATATAAAATGTATTTATTTATGGGATCCAACACCCAGGACTCAAAGGGTCATTATTGCAACCATATCATTAAAATATTTACCTCATTTAAATTCTGTACCACTGTAATAATGATTGCCAAGGTGAATAAAATACTATTATAAGATCTAGAATATGGTAGATCTGATTTTATGCAAGCATAATTACAAGTCATCTATTTTACCACGCTAAGCTGGTATTGCATGAAAAATTATACTTGCTTACTAATAATTTTGAATAAATTACTTGGAAGCATGCCGCCATTAGCTTCATAGCTCCATATGAGCATGCTCAGTCGCCATGGAAATAAATTACCCATAGTTCCTTGTGAGCATGGCGAGTATGGAGGTTGTTAGTTGTACATTCCATTGATGAGGTAATCCATTTTCGAATAATGTCTTCTTTGGTAACTTTCATAAGCTCTCTTGCCAAGCAACACCATGACTGCAAAGAGGAAGAGGATCCCAAAACACATGGCAGCGACTAATGCACCTGTAAAATATATACAAGACAAAAATGCAGGAGATACAGTCAATTGTAAAACTGAGCAATCAATATAACTTTTTTATATATATTATGCACCCTCACAGTTTTCTGTGGGAGAGGAAATCAGAAAGAAACTCTTGTTTTGAACTTGAACTTGTTTTGCTGCATGTACTTGCACAAGAAACCACTCTTCCAAAGGTGAGAAACACTATAAATTTCTTGTTTGTTTTCCTTTACCTAATCAGTGTGTTCAATTATGGTGTGTTCAATTATGATGTTGTCAGTTTATTAATATAGAAATAGAGACCGGTAGGCATCAAGAAATTAACAGGAAAATAAGATTTTGTAATTTATGCTACAGAGAAATTGGCGACAAGTAGCATTTCTCATTCAAATGTCCGAGACAGTCTGGGAAAACACTCTCTACCTAAAGAACTATCCGTGTATCTGACTCTCCATAAATTCAACAAGTTACTGACTTCAAAACAGGCTGTTGTCAGAAGTCTTGCATTATATATATATATATATATATATATATATATATCATGCATTTGAACTAAAAGAGAGATTGTACAGTATGTTGTTATTTTATTTTCTTATTAACTCGCTGCTATCATGTTCACTGTATTTAATGAGGGGCTGGTGGCCTGAATTACGTTCATATACATAATTATAACGATAATTCCATCATTAGTATCTTAATAACTAATTGCATAACAACATTATACAATATTCTTGCAGCAAGGCAACAACAGTTCACAAATAATAAATGAAATAATAATGTAGGATTTTGTCCCTACTATATAAGTTCAGACTAGTAGTTACTTTTTAAACTTTTTGATGATTCAATTTAGTTTTCTTTGGTGGGTTAATGTTGTTAGTATTTCATGTTTTAAGTCATATGGGACCCATGTTAGCAACAAAATACCTGTTGATGTTTGATCATAAAGTTTGTGA